CTAAAACTGATCCAAATAGGAGGGGCTCGTATTTTGAGCTATGGTAGGGCCTGTCCATGGTTGATTTATTCCCAATACTGGGTCCACTCGTGTTTGGTTACTGAGAAATCGATTCATTAAATTGGTAAGCAATATTGTGTGAATTATACCTCTCTTTGCCTGTTTAACAACGAACTTTTTGATGTATGTAGCTATTTACCCTTCAGTGGCTTTGTGAAATTGAAAAAAAACGAGGCTCACCTTTAGAATGAGCACATAGCAAATGACCAAAATTATTAGAGGGATGTAGAACGTGACGCAAGCGTTCTGAATGCCGTAGATCTTCATCAAAGCAAGGTCTTCATCAGTCATTTTTGTTTCGTTCGAACCAAGATTGATCTTTTCCGCCCATATTGTAACACATTGGCGGAAGTTACCAAAGTCCACCTAAAACGTTATAAAGTTATTGTCGAGTGCTAGTCCTCCTAGTTTTCCTCTCTTCATTTGAGACAGATGTTAGCCTGATAAAGAATCTATAAGTACCCAGCAGTATCAAATAACCCTGCGTACTTCGGAAGTGTTGCCATCTTTCCCTATCATTTCATCGCTTCTTCATTATCTTTTCATCTTTTATTCAAAATGGATTTCAGTCAAAAATCAGTAACTGGTCCTTCCTACTGAGCGCTTCACATACAAGGGGAGGGAAGGGAGAAGTTCCAGTTCCTCATCAACGGTTGGTGCAAGAACAGGGAAGGTTGGTATCTAAAGAGTGCTGTGGCCCCCAGACAGATATCTTCAAGCCTGATGAGAGCAGTCTCCAATGAAAGGTTTTGGAGAGGCCTAACAAACGAACTAGAACTAAAGTGGAAAAGTATGGGAAAGGAGAACCTTCATGGTCAACATTCTGTTATTCAGTGGGATGGTTTTGCTTTTACCCCAAGTAGCTTCCCCTGGCAACAACACCACAGAAAATTGCTTTTCTCTGAACACTTGTGATAGGCGACCAGAGTTCAGAGCTGCCCCCGGAACCTAGAGACAGAGGGATCTTTTTCAGGGCAGATGTCTAATTTCGTTTACATGGGCGGAGTTGAAATACTCATCCTTTGCCATAGGCGAGGAATCATTTTAAAAAAAGTTTGTATTAGCAGAGACAGGCAGATGTATTCTCCTGTTCCGCGCCGTCAAGAAATTCATGTGGTTGTCTCATCGGCTCAGTTCTTTTCCGTAATAGAGAGTCTGCAGCGGCTGATGAACGGCATTTGGTCATGTTTAATTCTTTTTGTGAGCTTGCATGGGTGAGCTTCAGAGCCGACTTGACACATAAAGTCGTCTGCAATAAGTATGTATATATGACGGGAGCGTCTTGTTTTTGAAAATGTCATCTTCCTTCCTAAGTTTTCCTGTGTTACCCTTGATATTGCTGACTGCTAAAGACCTGCAAGTAGCAGATCCCAAGATCCCATCACTTTCAGAGGAGATTATCAAAGTACATATATAGATACAAGGTAGATGATAACAACAGTAGAATCCAGCTTCATCTATTTTGGTAACCGTCCTGCTTTGAGACCATTATGTTTTGACCTTACTGATTTTTTCCTTACAAGTGAAATTACTCAGTAAATCATGATGCCCTTCTGAATTTAATCATTGGCATCTTTTCGATCATTAAAACAAGAACAAGAATATCGTTTGTATACCAACCTCTCTCCAGACGTAGAATTGAGGAAGCATAGTGATCACAGCCACACTCCAAGCCAGCAATAACATCCTAGACACCCGGCCTCGACCAATTGTAGAAGTCCAGAGCGGGTAACGAAGGGCATAGAGACGGTACAAAGCAATACAGACCATGATATTCGAGCTAAAAATGCTAGGTGAATGAAAAATTATATTTTTAGTCTCTCTGAAACATCGGGAGATTCTCAAGAACCATTGTCTAGGCCTCTCGGTGCCACCAAACTAGCAAAACACCTATTGTTACCGCGAGCCCAAAGCGGG